AAGAAACTTAATTGAATTTCTTTTAAAAAAAATGTATTTGCATTGTTTTGATTCGAATGTGATTGAGACTGTTCGATTCATCGATTCAAAAATGAATGGAATCGTTACGTAGGTATATATATACGTACTTATACCGCAATAATGATCATCACGCGAGTTATCTATACAATGATAAACACAATGATATGTGGCATTTATATCTTATCGGACACTATGATAATTAGAAATCAGCATGTTTCCTGAATTTTAGTACATTCTATTGAAATACTGCCTAGAAATTATAGTACGAGCATTCTCCATTTCCGTCGTATCGGGTGAGTTTTTAAAGTAATTTTTTTGCTGCGCACATTGTGAAATCGCCATCCAGCAATGGTATTTCCGAACATATAAGATACTGGAACATTCAAGAAAAGAGATTTCTTCTTAAAATACCAGTAACGCACTTGCAATTCTCCTGGTGTTGCGGGTGCTGATGGGCCGGTGGCAATCACTTGCCATCAAGTGAGCCTCAAGCTCATTTGTCTTTTATGCTATAAAAATGTCTTATAGACTACTTTTTATTTGCACAAATACAGGATTATTCTAAAAGTAAACATGTTATAGCATTCTATTGCACTTTAACTACATCATTATTATCTTCGGCGTCATTGGACTCCCTAAAATTATTCTGAAAAAGTCTAATCACTATGACTGATTTCCTCTTATTAATTGTTTAACCAGTTGTTGTGTATTAAATATTTTTTCTATTTTATTATTTAATTGAATTACGGTGGTTTGTATTATTTCAACATAGTTTTTTGCTCGTTCTTCTTATGTTGTTTCTTCTTGTCAGCTTTCTGAATGAGGTAGATTTGAGACTGTTTATCAATGTAAGTATATTTGAATAAATGATTTTCTATTCTATTCTAAAATGGTAGTTACTGGTAGCTGTTTATCGTTGGGCGGTAAGTGTCTCCTCAATTGTATCATTTCCCCACCGGCCGCCATAGTCCCATCATGTATTGATGATGTACAAGGGCCCTAGACTAACCTCAGACACAGATTGATTCTAAAAAAGGCGAAACAAAATGGAGCCTTCTATGAACATTCTTACCATAATTGGTGACAACTGACATTTATGACAAAATATTTAGAAAAAGTCATAATCTAATTATTATTTTTAAAGATCCTCTAATGCTGCACAAGATGTTACCGAGATTGACTTTGTACAAAGTCGCTTGCGCAGCTACCATTGTCTCACCTATTTCTGTATATACTGTGTTCTGGTTTCAAAGGTGTATGTTATGTACAAAATTGTTTAGTGTTGTCTCACTTTTACTATAAATAGATACTAGAGTGAGAGAGAGAGAGAGTGCATTAGCACTCATTGCAGCAAGATAATGAATGTCATGACATTATCAGCCACATTTTTATAAAGAATATATATATTTTTTTAATATCTATTGTTTTCTTACAGGATGAAGATAAATTGCAGCCTAATCATATCGCATAATCTGATACCTCCAGGCGACTATTTTTTTTTTATATTATTCATTATTCGCCCACTATATTTGGGCTTGCACATGCAATGCAACGAGAAGTCAATTTGTTTATATGACTTGCGTTATCGTTTTTTTATAACCCGATACCTTCATTAGCTGACTCACAAGACATCCAGTTTAAATAAACAAATCTTGTATACGTACGACCCAATGTAAAATATTAAATTACTTCGTAAACGGTACTCGTATGTTCGTATCGATGTCATTACAAATATCGATATATTTGTAACTCGATATATTTTCCGATTATATCCACGTTTGATTTATTTTGATGATTTATATACATTTTAATATATAAATACATATAATACGTACCTATAGAGGTACAAGTATAGGTTTATACATTTTTAAAACACTGCACGTTTCAACCAGAATTATGAAATTCTATTTATGACCAGAGACTTTGTATTCTGTTTTTTAAATAAGCAAAGCCCATGTTTGTCTTCGTGATAATATACCTACAGATATATTTCATTTCTTCCTAAATTTTATACAAACTTTTCTTAAAATAACTGAATTAGAAAAGGTCAAATCGCCATATTTCTTATCTTTTTATTAGTAAACAAAGTCCGCTCTAGTTTCGCACGGGTGTACATATATATAACACTTCTAAACCTTCCTCTTGAATCACTCCATCTATTGCTAAAACTGCATTCAAATCCGTTGCGCAGTTTAAAAGAAAAACCGAACAAACAGCGGAAGCGACTTGATTTTATATTATGTAAAGATATTAAATTATATTTCAGATTTTACTTTAATAATAACTATGATAATAAATCGTTGTTATATTGAAGTCAAATCTAAATATATATAACTCAAAGGTGACTGACTGACATAGTAATCTATCAACGCAAACCACTGGACGGATCGGACTGAAATTTGACATGCAGATAGATGTTATGACGTAGGCATCCGCTAAGAAAGGATTTTGATTAATTCTACCCCCAAGTGGATAAAATAGGGGGTGAAAGTTTGTATGAAACTTTGTCAATTTTAAACCGATCGGGCTGAGAGTTTGCATGCATAAAGCTACTATGACGTAGGCATCCCCTAAGAAAGGATTTTGATAAATTCCATCCCTAAGGGAATAAATTAACGCGAGCGACGCCTCGGGCAAAAGCTAGTATACATATATGTTTGTCTTATGTCACTTAAATGTATTTTTTTTATGATTATCCCTACCATCCATACATAGACATACAAAAGAAGTCTCGCCAACGATGGCTTTCAATTATAGTCATATTGGCAGTAGATATTTTAACACAATTAATCCTTAAGTACAAGGAAAATAAACACAATATCCTTATATTAAACTGCGCATGTAAATAAATTCACATATGATCATGGGTGGGACATCCATTTCAGCCATCGCTATCTATTGAACTTGCCCTGCCACTAATCCTTGTAAAGTTTTATATTAATGAAAATGCACCTATGTTCGCTAAAAATATACGCTAGCGCGGTATCAGTGGAGTAGAAATAATAATAGAAATAGAAATAATCTTTATTCAAATAAACTTTACTACAATATACTTTTGATTCTACCACACATTCGGAACGCAAATTCATTAAAAGAGCAAGAAACCTGTGTGATAATGTGAGCGGTGTATAAACTAAAATCTTTTAGTGAAAAATACTTAATTAGATAAAATCAATTCCTTTTTTCTTCATACTGGCATATAAAAATAACAAAATATAATGCATACAATCTTATTAAAATTATAAACTTGAAAGTTTGTGAGTATGGACGGAGATTTGTTACTCTTTCACGCAAAAACTACTGAACGGATTTTAATGAAACTTTACAGTGATATAGTTTATATATCAGAATAACACAGAGGCTATAAATTACATGCGGGTGAAACCGCGGGCATAGGTAGTATTAATTAAATAAGTGGAGTGGAGCGATTATATGAGCCCGTTATAGACTATTTACCAGCGAATTAATCATGATAGTTTCAACGTTTAGTTACTTCAGTTGAAAAAAACTAGCTAACAAGAGACTCAACCGGTACGGAGTTAAGAAAGGTGTTACATATGAATGTGGGTGGTTATAAGGGCAGACAAAGGCCGAAAAAGAGATGGATGGACTGTGTGAAAGATGATATGGTAAGAAAGGAAGTAAATAACGCGTTGACTGCGAACAGGGATGAATGGAAGCGAAAAACATATTACGCCGACCCCAAATAAATGGGATAAGGAAGAAGCAGGATGGTTTTTTTTTAATGGATGGTAATGGAACGGTGCACCCGCCTGCTCTAAAGGTTTAAGCTGGCGGGCCACCAGTGGATGTTGATAAAATGAGCATGAAGTTAGGTCAGTTAGCCCATCTTGGCTAATGGCAGTTTACCACAATGATTTCCAGGGGAACTACGTGGAGGACAACCTTACATCGTACATTGCTAGTAATGGGGTTATTAGTTCTCATTGCTAAGAATCGCCTTCCCCTCAATCGCGGTTAATTACCTACTGGAAAATTGGGTACGGGGATTTTTTTTCGGACTACTCTAATGTTGGCTGCAGCTGGCTTACAGCTTCACCGGACGATAGGGGGCGAGTGCGGATGGCATTCCAAACCCGCGGAAGGATGAGTGGCTGAAGGCCAACTCCCGGCTGACGGATACGACTACTATCCCGATTTCAAATTCATCATTTCATCCTAAACTGGTGCTAGCACAGGCGGGAACATCAGGCAATAGTCACACACAAGAATAAACAGAAGAATACAGACACCTATTGTGGCACTACCTATTATAAAATTAACATAAATTTAAGACTAATTTACACTACGCATACGACAATCATTATTGACTATTCAAAACGTTACTTGGAATTAATTACGATTCGCTTACGCAAGGCGAAGGTGCATCTTCAACAGCAAACTAATAGGCAAGTAGGTTGTAAATAACTTCAAGTGTTCATATATGCATATCCCTATGAAATAACTGTTATAAATAACAGATGTGGTTGATAACGGTTACCAGTACCTAAAGGTAATCTGTTATGGAACATGTTATTAATATATACGTATATTTATCTAAGACCCTTATGAAATACCTGTGTAACATAGGGTTAATAACAGTTAACACTACATAAAGGTTAATGAATAGATTATTAATAACTATATATAGGTATATTTGTCAAAGAAGAATTTGCAGTTTTTTAATGAAATCCTGGGTGATATTTGTCCTGATTCATATTTTTCGTTTATTGCAGTTAAGTATCTATTTATTTTCAGTTTAAGAGCTTATATGATCGTAGGTTTATTATTTTAGAAGGACGTTTAGAAAATTATATCTATATTCACGGGTTATAAAAATGATTCGTCGATATGTAAATGAACAGGTACATTATCATTAGGTATCTAGATTAATGTGTACATTACGTATCGATTCTATCTTATCAGTTATGATATTATAAATCGTCACAACAAGCCACATTTTGTTTTATTCAGCCTACCTTTTAGGTTTCCAGCGTTTCATCAAAACGCCAAACATATTTGCGATGCTGTTCTAAACACAATAAACAAAACAAAACTTCAACTCTATTTATAGGTTTTCCCAGTAAATTTACAACACTTCACAACACTAACCAGTACCTGTTTAATCACAACACTTTCTACTTTTATAATCTATATTGACTTTCGTTTACAATTGACAACAAATTACATTTAATTGACTCAAAGGACGAGATATTATGGCTGCACATTAGCCCATTCCAAATCGTGACCTAGACACAGTGACTGAGAGAACGTCCCAATTTCGAGTACCATCACTAGAATCGATATTGTTTCATAACTAGATATAGGTATCCAGCAGTTCCCGGTTACGCAACTATTGATCGCATCTCTATGTTCGAATTTCAAATTATTTCCATAACAAACACATTACGTAGCATTCAATCGTAATCATCGTTCGATTTATAAATAAACAAATATGATAAGACGAAAGACGAATCCGTCAATACGTCAACACGCGGCACAGCGAGTCCGCGACTGAGTCACAGTGTTTAACAAATCGGTTGTCGAGTCGAGCGACTTTGCGAACGACCGGTCGCAGGTCATGCGTCAGGTGCAGAGCGCGAAGCGGTCGATCAGCTGCTAAGTTGACGCTATTCCATTTTGCATGCTAGAACTGAAGTAACGACATCTAGCGGTGATATGCAACATCATTTTACAATACCTGCCCTGAAAAAATATTTTAGTATCTATTCTACAGTGTAAACGAACCATATATTGACATAATCTAAATTCTATACTACACTTGTTTCACCTGTATCAATACAACTTGGTTAGTTAAGCAAGTATCTGCTACGGAACGGGTACGCACTGTATATATTATGCATGTCTGTCTTTGTTTGCACCGAACGTTGTTAAGTACAAACTAACCGGCGTTTTGTTCTATTTCCACATATTATGTGAAATACATATTATTATGTAAATGTGTATATCTTTACGACTCATTCACACTTATATTCGTAATTTATAAATCTTTGTCAATGACGAATAGATGCAGCGTATCTTCGAGTTAATTATTAAGTCGTATGTGAGGGGGATTATTAGTAATGGGATCCAATCACCATAGTTACTTGCATTGTATTGCGTTGATATAATCGTGGTTGATCATTCCGATTAGTTCTTGACAATGAGCTAATCTAATAATTTTATTTAATATCTGACCAGTACATGTATTACGCTGGCTATCCAGAAACATCTATTTTTATATCATCCAATATATAATATATATAGATACAAGTACACACTTGTGCACTTACATGCTGGAAATGATTGTAAGTGAATTATAGTCATCATTAATTTATACCTAAGTAAAATAAGGGGTTGCATTGACCACAATTCGTCGGCGTGTGAATGAAGCTTTACCCAACTGTCGTTTGTTCAAATATAGCAAGGTATAGTATGTTTACTATATTTGAATATATATGTACTGCTACATAGCAGTAGTTTAGTGCTTAGATGAAAATAAACTAAAACTTATTGGGTTTTAATAGTAGAATAATACGAAATATCTATACCTAGTACTAATTTGTGGGGGAAAGGACATTGTTAGTAATGTGGATTGATGATCTCATTGCTAGCAATGTACCATGTCAGGTTGACCTCCATGTGGTTCCCCCTGGAAACAATCGTGATAAACTCATGGTGAATTTGTCATAATGGGCTAACTGACCTGACCTCATTCTCGTCTTATCATCCTCCACTGATGCCCCGCCAGCGTAAACCGTTAGCGCAGGCGGGTGCACCATTCCATTATCATCGATAAAAAAAAACTTCCACTGGTGCCCCACCAGCGTTAGCGTACGCTAGAACAGGCGGGTATTTCAAAATCAAAAATCAGTTTTTAACGTGTTATCTCGCGGCTGAAGTATAAGAATCTATCGAAATTAAACACGAGAAATAAATTATAAACAAAAAAACAACATGTGATAACTACGGCCACAAATTAGACGTCATTTTTAGTCACATTAGACTTAAAATGGACATTGTTATGACCAATAATTGCTACTTAACGTGTTCCTAAGACTATTCTTTTGTGACTATAGCTAATTTTAATAAAGAGTACAACCTTATTGTCTTATCAACATCTTATCTAATTTGATACTATATTTTGAAAGTTTACTTTGAATAATCGCTCAATTTAGTGGAAAAGATTGAGTAGAGATAAAATCTGAGATTATGGATGACAAGGAAAAACACCATGCCACATGGACCTCCTGCAAAGCATCGTAGTTAATTGCACTGGCCTGACTGACTTTACTGGTGCCCCGCCAGTGTATACCGTTAGCGCAGACGGGTGCACTAATCCATTATCATCACTGAAAAATAAGGGTTGTAAGAGCACTATGGACACAGATGGGCGCAGCAAGTGAGAGAGAGTGAAAGACAGTGGCCTTGAGAGAGTTTAATTATTTTGTACTAGCTGTGCCCGCGACTACGTCCGCGTAGAATTTAACTTTATTTCTCTAAAATAAAAGTAGCCTAAATTACACCATATCACATCAGATACCTGCCCATAAAAGTCCCGTCAAAATCCAGCCATTTCAGAGATTATCCGGAACAAACAGACAGACAGACAAAAATTGTAAAAAATGTTATTTTGGCGTATGTACCGTATTTATATTCATATGCATGTATTAAACCAACGGTTATTTCAATATTACAAACAGACACTCCAATTTTATTTATATGTATAGATAACATTTTTTTCTAATTTATGTGTACTATATATAGCCTGTTAATGAATTTCTTTAGAAATGTACTCTTGATTTAATGTATGTTGTTGGTTTACTAATATATAAATAAATATGTACTGATTTTATTTCTACAAGTTACATGTCATATTCACTGACATTATAACCTTTTTTAATAGTAATTTTTATTTTTGAATGATAAATACGTTACGACGAGTCGTAGATATCACCCTATCATCCAGAGATGCCCGTTAGCGTATACTGTTAAGGCAGGAAGGTTCAACATTTCATTATCGTCCATTTTAAAAAAATGCTGTAAACTGACCGCAGCCCTTTACGGTCCTCCAACTCATTGAAGGGGACCAATTGTTGATAGGTTGACACGGGACGGGACGATGTAACTGAATGAACTAAACTAAATGTAGGTAGATAAAACTAAAAATATTGGCACTGTTCTTACATTATTTCTATTACATATGCAATCAGAACACTAATTTCTATATAGTCTTCATCGCATCGGTGGTTCAGTGGTAGAATGCTCGCCTGCCACGCGGGCGGCCCGGGTTCGATTCCCGGCCGATGCATTTTTTTGTATAGTTAAACGTAAGCTATTATTAGTAATCGTCAATCAATGTTGACATGTAAAACATGTGATAAAAATATCCTTGGATAATTCGCACAGCGCCATCTACTCCCAAGTTAGCGAAGCTTGTGTTATGGGCACCAGACTACTGATATAAATACATAGATACTTTTGTTTGTAAATACATACATGGAAACACCTAGACCGATACAAACAATCATACTCATGAATAAAAATTATTTAATGTTTGTACCGTGTGAGGAAACAAACCCGCGACCTTCGGACGTAAAACGGTGTGCTAAACCACTAGACTACCGAGTCCGTCCATAATGGAACTCCTTCATTTAAAATCGGTCAATAAATAACTTTTGAGGCAACCCCTGTTGGTATGTCGCCACTTGTTAACCTTGAACTTGGGGTGAGTTTGTTTAGGGTGAGTTTCGAATTAATTGCCTTTAATCCCCCGTATACAATGGGAGTCTGGCCCCCAGTCAATTGGCCGACAGGCCAAAAAGGAGGTTCTCGAATAAAGTACGTGTATTTTTTGTTTTATATTCTTCTGTATTATCAGTGTAATGACTGAATAAGAATATAATATATAACTTATTTAGCGACAAACAAACTACCGCAAGAGAAGGCGCTAGGATCATCCCTTATCACGTTGATTTGTTATATAGCGAAATGTGGGCATGCCAAGTGTTGCATTTACCACGATTTTGACAATTGAAAATACTTCCGATTACTTCATATAGGATAACAATCAAGAAGATACATGAAAAAAAATAAAACATTAATTATACACAAAGTAATCTAATTTAATAATAATAATACAATAATATTTAACTATCATTCTTAATATAAAAGGAACTACGAATTAAATTAATGACTTCCAGTATGTCTTAAAACGATATTGTCCGCAAAAACATCTTTCTCATGGAACAGCGGCAGTCCTTCCAGCTTCAGACTGGCTTCCGGGTCTTCGTAAGTGACCGTGTAGCTCGGGTTCAAGGGATGCAGAGGTCCAGTGGCTTTTACATCACTTCTATGCTCCTCATCACCAAGGACGTAATGTGTTCCGTCGCCAGTTCTTATTATTCTGTTCTTCACCTGAAATTTTAATATTGTATTGTATTTTGGCAACATGAGATTGGCAAAAAAGCCCAATGCTGCTTGAAAAGTTATATCCGTATAGAGGAATGAAGTAATGCGTAGGAATGTAGATAATATTTTAGGGAAGGTGTTACATATGAACGTGGATGGTTATAAAGGCAGAGAAAGGTCGAAAAAGAGATGGATGGACTGTGTAAATAATGATTTGGCAAGAAAGGGAGTAAATAAGAAAATGACTGCGAACAGGGATGAATGGGAAAGAAAAACATATTACGTCGACCTCAAATAAATGGGATAAGGAAGAAGCAGGTGATAGAAGAATTAAGTACACTCCGCTACACTACACTTCACCAGGCGTTTGAGCGCAACCAATGGCAATAGCTAATTGACAAGATTGTGCAGAGTCGCGATCCTTAGCAATGAGAGAGAGGATAAACAAAAATATTGGCAGTATTATGCTCAGGTGGAACAAAGACTACGTCATTCGGAGATTAAGTGTTTTTCTTTGTAGATGATATTATATTAATGCAGTCGTCTAATGAGAATGAAGACAGACCAGTTAGCTCATCATGGCGAATTCACCTAGAATTTACCATGATGTTTTCTAATTGGAATTACGTAGAGGTATACCTGGGGACAGCTCGACAAGAATGTGTAGAGTCGCGATCCTCAGCAGTGAGGAACAAGAAGAGAGATGAATGAACAAAAATACTGGCAGTATTATGTTCCGGTATACAGCCTATGGTATTGGAGATTAAGTGTTTCTCTTAGTAGATGATATTAGATTAGTGCACTCGTCTAATAAGGTTGAGGACAGGTTACCCCAACGTGCCAAAATTACCTAGAATAGGGGAACTGCGAGGAGGTGTATCTGATAGGATATATTTTGAGCAATGAGACACTAGTCTTATTCTACTCACAATCCCTGCCTCCCCACTTGTTGTGTTTGAACTATAACATTTATAGTTTCATATTTCTCCAAATACTTGGAATTAGTTCCAATAACGTACTCTGTGCATTTTATAGAAGCGGAGTCTGTATTGTAAAAAGGCGGGAATGACCAATTTAAATGTGTAGCGTGAATTCGCTTTGTATTAAAATTAATATTTAAACACAAAACACAACATACAAATAATTATATTATAATAAAAATAGGTTTTAATTACCATTTCAGGAGAAGCTGTTTTCAAATCAGAAGCAAGGCCAATCCTCTCCAGGAATCTGATGATGCTGGCAGACTGGTTGAAGTGCATGGAGAGTTCAGCAGCTTTGTAATCCCACGGGAAGGCATGGTGGTAATTGTGCCAACCTTCGCCCAAGCTTATGAACGATACGAACCAGGATTCCACTGGTTGGAGATTTCTGATGGATAAATGGGAACATATTATCGTATGTTATCATTGCCGACCTCGATGGTCTAGCGGTTTGACACACCGGCTTACTTCTGTTGATCACTGGTTCGATTCCTCTCACGGTGCAAATATTTCTGATTATGATTCATATCTGGGTGTTTTCTATATATATTATGTATATATTTACAAAAAGTAGTACCCATAGCAAACAGTTGCTTAGTACCCAAAAATGAGGGTGGGTGGAGGCAGTGGAGGACCCTTGGAAACCATCGTTATAAATTGGTGAATTGTTGCACGTTAGCGGAGGAAATGGATCATTCCATACTATTCATAATGAAGTAGATACTTACTTATCATATGGTCTCGTTCCATATAGATGAGCTGCACTGTTCACAAGCCAAGTACCATTCAGTTGGGACACAAAACGCGCGCAGTAAGCAACCAAGAAAGACTTCAGTACCGTCTCTCCGAAGTAGTGTACAGGTACCCACACGGGGATGAATACGGCGAGAATGAAGTATAAATAATAATAGTATCTGAAATTTAAACATAATTTTATGTAACTGGAATGGTAAGCGGACTTATTCATTTTGTTTGTTATCAATATTTACATCACCAGAGAATCAGTTACCAATATATCTATAATATTATATTGTAAACTAATTATTACCCAGGTCTATGTCAAAATGGAATTGATCTTTGTTTTATTAAAATAAAATCTAAAATAAAAGTTATAAGTTACTCCTTATAACATTAGCTATCTGCAAGTGAAAGTTCTGTCAAAACCAGTCAAGTTGTTTCAGAGATTAGCAAGAACAAACAGATAGACAGACAAAAATTGTAAAAACGGTTATTTTGGTGTATGTACAGTATTTATATTCATGTGCAAGTAGGAAATAACGGTTAAATAACCGTTTTAATATTACAAACAGACACTCCAATTTTATTTATATGTAAAGATAAATAAAGAACCCACGACGATGTATCTCTAATCTATCTAATCTGTATCTAATCTAATCTAATAATTGCTATGAATTGTATAATTACTTCTTTTGGAACATGACCATCCAGTCTGCTTGTAGATCACTCATATCAATCTTCTTGCCCAGTTCCAAAACGTAGGGATGTTTCTTCGTCATCAACCAGCCGATATGACAGAAGAAGAAGCCTCTCTTCGAATTGTGAGGGTCAGCATCAGTGTCGGTGTACCGGTGATGCAGACGATGATCCCGACACCAAATGAACATCGAGTTCTTTAAAATTAAACTTTATTTTAATATATCAAAGGTAGAAAGTCTGTTTGTAAGGGGTATTTTGTTGAAGGGTGAGAAAAATTTAAGAAAAGATAGGTGGTGCACTATGTATACGAGTACTAAACGTATAGTTTACTAAAATTACTATACACAAATACTAAACTATACAAAATACTAACAATAAAAAATCAAAAATACTAACTATCACTAACTACTTCGTCTGCGGTTTTTTTTTGAGATAAAAGAAAGACTATTTGACACTTTCGAGAATTTGTGTTTCAATATATCTTCACGTCAAATTTCATCAAAGGTAAGACAGACAAAAAATACACTTTCTTTCTTGTAATATTAGTATTAAATATTATTTATAATATAGTTAATAGCTATACCTGCCCAGCAACAGTTTGCATAAGTATTAACATAGCTCGAAGTGGAGCCGTTCCCTTAAATGATTTGTGCGTGTAGAACCTATGAGCGCCGATGGTCACACCTTCAGTCGAAACGAACAGCAGGAAGATCACTGAAATAGATATACAATAATAAATTTTAGTTGGAACGCTCATAAAATAGGGGACTATTATGATATAGTGTTGCCAGGTTTTAATTAATACGTTAATAATTTCAACACATTTTACAAATTAAGCTGCTTGGCGTAACAGTGTAAGCGAAATCTTTAAAAGTATCATATATTTAAAAAATAATATTGTTTTCTATGTAGATAAAAATACTTAATAAAAACGAGACAAGGGTAGAAAATGACAAAGTTTACTTACCCCAAGCAGTCGTTTTCCAAGTGACACCACCAGTGAACCATATTCCTAGACCCCACAAACACAGCAGGTGCAGTATTAAAAAACCTATGGCATTCTTCCAGACAATTTCGTGTTTGTACGAGTAATCAGTGCCTACGTACTTCGTGGTCTCTTTCTTTTCTTTTATCATTGTTATCGGCGCCATATTTGTTTTGTTTTCGAGATTCAAAAATTCTGTTCCGTTCATTTTTGTTTGGTTGTCACAAAATTTCTCTGGTTCCGTTTGAAGCTCGGCTGCGGTCATTTTCGATGCTGTTTACTGCTGCTACTGACTTGTTGTTGTCAATTAATGTATTTTATATACGTTTGTAATAATAATTTTATTCTTAATCTCCATTGTTACCCGTTGTGCAATTAGAACTTGAACTATTTGATTGTATGCTAATTAATAATGAATTCGGTTGATTCAAAAGAAAAATACGCAATACTCAATATATGTATACATATGCACAATTATAGAGTATGTGTTAACATTGGCCTCATTAACTGAAAGATTATAGGTATTTTATTTATAGTATCACGATTGTATTTTTATTCACGAATTTGAATGGCTAACGATATATGGTAAATCGGATATGTATTCAAATGGTATCTGTAGGATATGCCAGGCTAAAGTCGTATCCGTCAGGCGGGAGTTGGTCTTCAGCCGTTCCATAAGTCCTTCCGCGGGTTTAGAGTGCCATCTGCACTCGCTCCCTATCTTCCTGTGAAGCTGCAAAGGCCAGCTGCGGAAAAAGAGTTAGAGTAGTTCGAAAATAAAAGCCGATGAAACCTGTCATGCGTTGTCATTCCTGAGGTCTAAGATGTCTCTTATCCTGTAATACATAACATTTGACATGTCTATACTTTGCTAAATATATTTGGAAATAAACGGCGCAGGGGAATTGCGTAATGTCGTCTCTTAGATTAATTTCGTTTTACCAGTGATCAGATATTGAATACAAATGTGTACATATGACACAGAAATTTTGTTGGCTTTGAACTCTTGCAGTAGTTCAGGTAAGTTAATATGGCGGTAGTAAACAACTGAATCATGATTAAATAAAGTACATAATATACCTATATATATGTACGTGAAGTATATATATACATTAATCGAATAATATTCACAATAATCTTAACTCTACAGCTTCTTTTTACTAATGTTATTATATACAATTTACCACAAATAATTTTCAAAATAGAATTACCTACTAAACATAATTTATTAACTTTGTTATAATGACACATTTCATTTTATTATTAAATCAAAGTAAAGAAATCAATTTCTTAATATGCAAAATTATAATTTTTGTTTAATTTTAGTTTAACGTACAACTCTATTGTAAAGGTAATTCAGTTCAATTTTATTATTCAAAGGGGTTTTATAAGGAATTATTTCGAAATCGCAGACATTACGCGGTCTATTTACGGACATATGCACCAACCACAAATAACAAAATGTGTCCAAGCACCCGGCATTATTATGTCAATTACCTACCTATCTATTGACTTTGTTGCTTTATATTTATATCGTATATCTATATCGATTCTTATCCGATTGATCTTATCGATTTTTCGTTTATTTTGTGGAGTGTTATGAATTGTAAGTTGTAAATAATTACCTATTTAGTTTATTTTTTACTAGCTTTGCCCGTGATTTTACCCGCGTGAAATTTGTAACCTATATGTTATTCAGAAAGCTATATTACTTTAAAATGGTATTACCCACGTGGAATTTGTAGCGCATGTGTTTTTTTGATGTATAAGCTATATGATTATAAAGTTTAATTAAAATCCGTTCAATAGTTTTTGCGTCAAAGAGTAACAAACATCCATACATTCTATCCATCCATACTCGCAAACTTTTAAGTTTAAATTATTAGTAACATTTGTTTTAGGCTTTCAATTTATTTTCTATATTATTACTAACTTATGTATCAATGTTGCGTTGGTAAATTTTACTGAAACAGGCAAATTCTGGCAAAAATACTATATACTATGCTATCCCATTCTTGTCGATCACGATTATAATATTAGCTTTAACTACACATACAAAATATACAAAACCGTTTTACAAGTACAATATTAGAAGTTATTTTTTCTTTACTAATTATTTCAGCATCGTAGGAATCTATTTTATATCTTCAACGTCTACTGGACGATTCTTAAACTATAATATTTTTTCGAAATGAATAACTATTTACTACTACTAACTACTGTCATTTTAATTCGAACTATGTTGTAATAACTTCTTGAGCATCTCCTATTTCAGTCTCAGTGGTGGTAGTAGTTTCTTTTGTTGTTTTTGCAGCTTGTGTTGTTGTTTCTATGGCTTCTGTTGTAGTTTCTACAGCTTCTGTTGTTATTTCTACGGCTTCTGTTGTAGTTTCTACAGCTTCTGTTGTCGTTTCTATAACTTTTGTTGTAGTTTCCATCACTAATTCTGTAGTAGACGTGGTTGTTTCTGTTGTACTGGTTGTAGTAGATAATGGTTCTGTAGTATGCTCAGTAGGTTCAATAGGAATCGTTTCAGTAATCATTAACATCGGCGAAGTAATAGTAGTTTTTTCTATATTCCCCGCAGTAGTTGAAATTTGTTTAAGTTTTATTATAGGTAAATCACTAATAGCATTATCATCTAATGAGTCTAGTATGATTTTTATTATCATTGCTTCTTCGTCTGTTAGTGCGTTCAAATTATCTATCCATTGCTGAAATATTCCAGCTTCTGAAAACGGTAAAAATGTTATTGATATTCTAATTAATAAAAACGTTTATTACCAAAGTTTCACGATGTAGGTACATATTATTTTTTTAATTTTGGAAAGCGTATTTTTTTATCCAAATTAGGGTGATAGGAGCTTGACCCAATAATTCTATTAATCACTAATTATTGTTATGCCTCGACCAGACTCTAAGTCTCTCCTCAAAGTCACTCCTCTCCGGAGGAAAGGGGGATTGTTAGTAATGCGGACTGATGGTTTTATTGCTAGCAATGTACCATCTCAGGTTGACCTCTACGCAGTTCCCTCTAGAAAACATCGTGATAAATTCTTGGTGAATTAGTTACGATGGCCTAACTGACCCGAACTCATGCTCATCTCATTATCCTCCACTGGTGCCCCGCCAGCGTTAACCGTTATCGCAGGCCAGTGTACCATTCCAATTCTAGCATTTCTTTCATAATAAAATCATTCCTCTCCGTCCTAATGTTTATAACCATGGAGATAGACGGAGAGGAGTGAATTTTTTTTATTAAAATTAATTTAGAGAAAATTTCTATTGCCGCCTATTGTTACCTCTGTATCTTGTTTGTTGTGATACATATTAATATATGTAATTGTTTTTTTTATGTAAGAGGAATATTATGAGTTATTAATTCATTCTATTGTGTAATATTGCTTGTTGCCTATAACCTGTTAAATTTTATAATACGTACTTTCAGTAGTAACAACTTCTTTTGTCCAAGTATAGCTAGTATTTACAGCATTCTCTTCCGAATCGCTATATGCCCCTAATCTAGCAATGCAGGTGTCTGAGCAATTGTATTCGGTGTCGAACTTGTTGTACGAGGAGCAACCTCGCCAGAAGGCGATCTCGCAGCGGGAGCCTGGCTTGTAGTAGTAGTAGACAGGTTTTGGGGGGACGCCGCAGTCGCTCAGGTTGATTGGTTGAAGGCAGTAATCCGGGGGCACTGGACAGAGTTGTGGGAAATAAAAAATCTTTAAAATAAAAAAGTTTATAATTTTTAAGTTTATAAGTTTATTTAGTAACAATTGCTAATAAATAAAATTAGTTAAAAAAAGTTAATTATGAATTTTGATATTTTTTATACTCCTATTTTTTTTAATTTAATAATCATTTATATTTTTAGTGTTTTATACACGTCAAGTTTTTTTGTCTAAAACAGTGATTCCCAAAGTGGTCTATATCGACCCCAGGGGTCTATGACAAACTCCAAGGGGTCATCTTATTGTTTTTACTTTATGTTTGTAACACTAAACTTTACTACAGTTAGAAATTTACAAAAAAACAATACCAGATAAGAATGGGGGATCTACCCAAAACCGAAAATATGGCAAGGGGTCTACGACACAAAAAAGTTTGGGAACCTCTGGTCTAAAACGTGCATTTTACTTAATGAGTCATTCAGAATACAGAGAATCGGTAAATCACCAATATTAGAAATATTAATAAGTACCTAAATGTACCTATGTTTTGTTTAGTAACTGGAGGATCACTACACAACCCACCGACTGGAAAGTGGTATCCATTCACTGGATTGCGTATTGATCCTCCGGTCGGTGGTGGTTAATAAAATACAATGCTATGCAACATAATGCTATACAATACAAAATACATTGTAACGACTGTATTGTTTCTCATTCCATGTCATCAAGATATGCATATGCTGATATGCCTATTTTTTGCCTATGTCTTAATCCTAATAACCGATAATAAAAAAAAATTGTTGTAGTTTTAAATAACAGTAATCATAAAACATACATACCTGAATCAATATTAACAAAAAATAATACAAGAATATTTAAAATTATCATTAACATTCTAATGACTAGGAGTAAGTTACTTTTCAAATGTGAAACTGTTAAAAATGATTGCAAAAATTAATTACATTTCTTATCTTAAACATTTGTGTAATTAGCAATAAAAACGACATATTGTGTTTATTTTTACGGTTTGAATTATTGACAAAAAGTTTGCATCGGCCGGGAATCGAACCCGGGCCGCCCGCGTGGCAGGCGAGCATTCTACCACTGAACCACCGATGCTACAATGTGTTTTTCAAAATTAACTATCATATCTCGAATAACATTCATGCATCTAGGTTATTATGTGTATGTTGTGTTACAATATGGAAGACTAGCTGTGCCCACGGTTTCACTTACATGAGGTTTATAATCTGTTATTCTGATGTATAAACTATATTACTGTACAGTTTCATCGAAACCCGTACAATACAAATCTAACCATCCATACAAACTTTATTATTTACTATATTAATCAGATTAAACGAAAATGCTCAACTAAAGATCTATTATTATTATATAAATACATTTAATTCTGAAGATAAAATTTAATATTTAGAAACTTTCATTTACAGGATGGTTAATTATGTGAAAAGAAAGAAATGTACGAAATATTATATAATTTATATACCTTTCTAAACTTATTTTTTCCAGTTTAGGTTTAGAAATAGTTTATATTTGTGATTGATGTTCTCTAAGTAAATAACATGCATTATTAGTAATAGAAAGGATAGTATATTAGAATTATTTACAATATAATTTTCAAAGTAATACTCTGAGAGGAATATTACAAATAACTTACATTGATACAGAGCAGAATGAATAAAGGAATAATAATTGTTCGACTCGATAATATTAGGCCACACATCAGAGATGCAAATAGCGCCATCTGTTATTTACCACGTACAACATGTTGTAAAGTTTCGTCTACTATATGCTGGGTTTATCTAGTGCTATAAATAGTTACTAGATGGCGCTAAAGCAAAAATATTAGGAATAAGGAATTTTACAATTTAAAGAATTTTTTTGACAATATATAATTATCGACTGGTGAGATCCTATTTTACTATTATTATTATTATTTCTCTCTGTATAGATTAATTATGTATAATTATTAAACAATATTATTTTGAGTGCCATTACTATGGCAAAACACATAATACTATTCTTTAATTATTATCTTTTGTACTGTGTTTTTGAGCAAATAAATTATTATTATTATTTGTGCTGGAATCTGTAAGTGTATAAAAAAAGCTAGGCAATTATTTTATTGGCCAGGTCTTACAAATGATATTAAGGATTTTGTAATGAAATGTAGGACTTGTGAAAAGTTTAGTGATTCTAATAAAAGTGATAATTTGTTACTTCACAAGATTCCAAACAGAAGATATGCTAAAATAGGTACTGATATATTAGATTTTTGTGGAAAATACTTTTTAGTTGTAGTTGATTATTTTTCACATTGGCTTGAAGTATTTCCATTATCTGACAAAACTTCTTCATCTGTTATAAATGCATTCCAGGAAGTTTTCATGCGATTTGGTTACCCTGAAGAAGTTATTGCAGATAATAACCCTTTTAATTCTTTTGAATGTTTAAAATATTTTAAAAGTAAAGATATAAGTTTAATAACTAGCAGTCCACATTACCCAAAGAGTAATGGTATGGCTGAAAAGGCAGTACATATAAGCAAAAAGATTCTATGTAAAGCTAAGGAGGATAAAGTTGATTATAGAGAATTATGTCAAGCCTAAATCTAACGACGTTTTTGAAAGGTACAAGTTTAATGAAAGAAAACAATTGGAAGGTGAAAATTTTGAAAGTTTTTACACTAATTTAAGGTTACTGATTGTAAATTGTAATTATATAGAGTCTATAGAGGATGATTTACTAAGAGATCGTATCGTTCAAGGCATTTTCGATAAACAATTACAAGAAAGTTTGCTCCGAGTCGAGAACTTGACGTTGGACAAAGCTACAAGTAGATGCAGAGCAGCAGAAGCTAGCCGTTCTCAAGTAATGGAAATGAATCCAACCTGTATTGAAGTAGATAGAGTAAAGAGTTATGGAAATAAAAGAACTGAGAAGAAGTTTCAAAGAAATATAAATAATAAATTTGATTGTCGTCGTTGTAAAAGTCAGCTTGGTCCGAGAGAGTGTCCTGCATATGGGAAAAAATGTGCAAAATGTGGTATATTAAATCACTTCGCAGTGAGCTGTAAAGTGAAGAAAATAAGTGAAGCTGTGTGTAATAAATCAAATTCATCAAATGAAGAGTTATTTTGTGGAGTAGTGTTGTCAAATATAAAAAAGAATAGAAGTGAGTGGGAAGAAAATATACAAATAGAGGACAAAATTTTTAAGTGCAAGCTAGACACAGGAGCGGATGTGAGTATTCTGCCAAAGAGTGTATTTGATAAATTAAATTATAAGTTAAATTGTAAAATTCAGAAGACAGAGTTAACAGTACAATCTTTTACTGGAGAAAATATTAAGCCAATAGGCATTGTAAATCTTAAATGCAAGTATAAAAATAAAATATGTAATGAGAATTTTGTCATAGCTGAAGCAAGTAACATACTTTTAGGGTTGCCAGCATGTGTCTCATTAAATTTGGTGAAACGAATTCATAGTGTCCAGGTGACAAATAATGACAAAGATAAATTTGTAAATAATAATATAGTAGTTTTTGAAGGAATAGGAAGGTTGCCAGGAAAAGTTGAAATTCCTACCAGAGCTACAGAAGAATATATTTGTCATCCTTCTCCGAGATTGCCATCTTGTTTGCTTGAACCTTTAAAAGCAGAACTAAATAGATTAGTAGAGAGAAAATCAATTGTTAAAGTTAATAATATTAGTGAAAATGCATATATAAACAGAATGGTAATAGTAGAGAAGCCAAATCGTAAAGTTAGGTTATGTCTCGATCCATTAGACTTAAATAAAATTATTGTAAAAAAACCTAAATGTTTACCCACATTGGAGGATTTAAGTTTTAAATTACAGGGTAAGAAGTTTTTCTCTGTTTTAGACTTAACTGAAGGCTTTCATCATCTAAGTTTGTCTGAGGAGTCATCTTGGAAGTGTTGTTTTGCTACACCTTATGGAGTTTATAGATATCTTGTTTTACCATATGGTTTAATGAATGCACCAGAATTATTTCAGGATGTACTTGAAAGTCATTTTTCAGAGTTGTCAAATGTTATTATTTGGGCTGATGATATTTTAGTAATGGGAAACACTGAAAAAGAGCATGATTTAGCATTGCAGAGTGTAATCCTGAAAGCAAAGAAATTAGGTATTGTTTTCAATAAAAATAAATTTCAATATAAACAAAGAGAGGTTAAATATGTAGGCCAAGTTTTTAATGAATATGGAATGTCACTTGATCAGGATAGAGTTGAGTCATTAGTTAATTTAAATGAACCAAGTAATAGAGATGAGTTGAGACAAATATTAGGATCTTTCAATTATGTACGAAGGTATGTGCTTGACATGGCAAATATAATGGCACCACTTTTCAATTTATTAAAGAAAAATTCTGAGTTTACATGGTTACCTGCTCATAGTCTTACTTTTACTGAGCTGAAAAGAAAAATATGTTCAGCACCATCTTTGACACCTTTTGACCCCAAAAAGAAAATTATTTTACAATGTGATGCAAGTAAAAGTGGATTAGGTTGTTGTCTATTTCAGAATAATGATCAAAATATATTAAAGTTAGTAGCATGTGCATCTAGATCTATGAATGATTCAGAGCTTAATTATAGTCAGACAGAAAAAGAATTATTATCAATATGTTTTGGTATAAAAAAGTTTCATAGATATGTTTATGGTTGTAATGTTGATGTTCAAACAGACCACAAACCAATTGTATCAATTATGTCAAAACCAGTTTGTAAAATAGGATCTCCTCGTTTGAAACGCTTAAGATTAAAATTATTTACATATAATTTGAATGTATATTATGTACCAGGAAAGTTATTACATTTCGCTGACATGTTATCAAGAAATTGTCTAAGTATTACAGAAAATGATAATCAAATGTCACAAATAGTACACTCTGTTACTGTACACTTGCCTATGTCAAAAGAAAAGTTTGTTAAGAAAAAGGAAATGGAATATAAAATAGGAGATAAGGTAGTTCATAAGACTGATAAAGACAAATTTTGGAGAAAAGGTATTATTGTGGGAAAATGTAAAGAACCTAGATCTTATTGGATACAAAAGGAGGGAGAAGATAGGAAAATAAGAAGGAATATTAAACATATAAAGAAATCTTTTTCAGATTATAAAAGTGCAAAGAAACTCAATCCTTTTTTATCTAATTATAATGAAGATTTTGATCAGGAATCTGATATAAATCTAAATGTTCCCATTTCACCTAGACCTGTAACAACCTGTAGGAATCAAGTACCACTAAGTGTAACTACTAGATATGGTAGAACTACTAAGCCTAGAAGGGTGTTAGATCTGTAAGCTAAAGGGGAAGGTGAAGTATGTCAATGTCAATGTCAATGTGTGATGTTGATTAATCTATTAATGTTACTCTCTCTCTTGTTAATTATCTGTCATTGTGTAAGTTTATAAGCTTCCTAATAAATATTAAATATAAAATATAGACTGCATATTATATTAAAATATCATATAAAACAATTATTATTATTATTAATAATAAAAACTTATGTTTAAATCGTTTACTGTATCTTATCCGTGCTTTTATGTTATAGTTCAAGTGAAATGTAATGTTTTTTTAACTAATATACAATGAAAAATAAAATTTAAAGGTATTCGGTACAAGCTAAATTATAGTTGTTCATGAATCTATCTGTACTTTGCAAGTGCATAATTTTTTCATGTCATCTTTGAAGAAATTACAAAAATGAAACAAGAACAGAAAATAATGAGGTTTTATTTTATTATATAAGAAGAAAATTCGTTGTTCTTTTGTTATAAATATTAGTGGGTATATTAAGTAGATATGCCTTTATTATAGCATCACAGAATCTGGTCTACCGTCACAGATTTTATTTATTTTTCATCATTAATATTACAGTAACATTTATTAACACATAATTTTATTCAAAGTTTAAAGGAATTAAAGTTGAAAAGTTTAAAGATTCTTGTTTGTCCATATTAAATATTCTGTGTTGGTTCTTCTATATTTTCTTGTCTTTGGCTTCTTTCCTTTTGCTTTTTATATAGCACTCCCCCTAATATTGCTAGAGTAATCTGAAAGAGAAATATATTCATTAATAATGTCTGTATACTTATAATTAATAATTTAGTTAATCCAATATATACGTGTAATTAGTAAAAATCACGGGATTTTACCACGTTACATTTATTATTATTTTAGTGTTAGTTTACTCGTGATCATGGCGGTTGAAACACTGGCGAAATATCGGGAACTTAATGAAATAAAACGTGGTAAAATGCCGTGATTTTTACTAATTATACGTATAAATAATGACAACGTCAAATTTAAAACAGTATATAATTCAATATAACTACTCCTACCTCGTACATTTACATATGTATTTCTATAAAATTTAAGCTATAAAAATTCGACTGAATAGAATGATGGTGACCAACCTCAAGAATGACGAGCAATATGATGGCGATCATGATAACCGTAGACGTTTCTTTAAACATATCCAGGATAGGCTGTCCACAGCCCGTCTGATAGTATGATCTTCGCGCTTTACAAGCTTCCCGCTCTCTCTCTTGTATTAACTCAGACCTGGAAGGATCATAAGTGGGACAGCAAGAGATGGGTATATCCGGGGGAAAGAAACTAGGCAGCCCCGTTCGGTAATCCTCAGGGCTGTATATACCGCAACATTTAAGCTGAAATAAAAAAAAACATTAAAAATAAACGATATGTGGTATTTCAGTTTCGGTGAATTGGCTCCTTGTTTAGAAATAGTTGTTGTTCTAAGCTTGGAATTTATAAATATTTGAGATTTTGTATGCAGTTAAAGTCATCTCCTTTTTTTCTTTTTCGGACTACTCTAATGCTGTTGGCCGCAGCTGGCCTTTACAGCTTTACCAGACGTTAGGGGGCGAGTGCAGATGGCACTCTGTTAGCACATGAAACCTCTTTTTGTATAAAAGCCATATAATTGTAATTAAAAATAAAAATAAAAACTTCTTTTCGTTCTGTCAACACGGTCTATCATTTATTATTTCATTATAAATAGTTCACAGTTAGAAACACTAACACACTTCAAACCCGCGGAAGGACTTATGGAGCGGCTGAAGGCCAGTTCCTGCCTCCAGTCATCTGCGTGAATCACACCCAAGCAGCTTGATTAGCTGCGTTTTGATTGAAGTATTTATATTAAAGGGATTTCCTCATGTGAGGCAGTGTAATTACAGCATAAGAGCACGATATCTTAGTCTTATAGAATGGCAATGAGTTGTATAATAGACGAAAAGTGATGGTTACCACTTCTCATCAGGCATTTGTCATTCCAGTTACATATAAAAAGTAGTTTGATTAAATAGTACAGCTCGACTCCAGTGTCCTAATATAAATATAAAAAGTTTTTTTATAGTAAACAAGGTCAAAGAAAGTAAGTTATTATATACATCTAAATTGCTCTATTTATGTGTGTTGATACTTAATATAATGTATACTTCAGTTTTAAATTTTAGTTTTAAATTAGTCCCGTTTTCTTATACAATACCATTAAAATGATGTCAATGATACGAAAAAAGAAATGCATGAATATCAGGCCCGAATGATTTGTAATTGCTGAGAAAATTTGACATTAATAATAATTGTAAGTTTATTGTGCAAAAAACAGTTATAAAATGGAATTTAACTAAGTTTCTATATTTATTTAGATAGATAGATAGATAAAATTTCTATTTCCCATAAAGGCACACACACACACACACACACACAAGGCACAGTAATATCACAGATAATATAATATAATAAAGATTAAAAGTAGATACACAATTAGATTAATCAGTCAACATAATACAATACAGATAAAATACAATACAAATACAAAAAAAAATAAAAAAAAAACGGTGAGAGTAACGTAGTGTGTGTGCCTAACGTAGTGTATAGCCTGTACGCAAAATTATTTCCATGTATATTGCAACTAGTTAAACTAACACCAAGCCCAGTGCTGTATTGTTTAAACTAGGCCAATTACTAATACCAATATTTGCGATGCGTTGTCTTAAACTGCCAATTTGGAATTTTCATAACTTGTCACTTTCTAATTTATTATTTATTTAACTATTAACTAATTATATCATTTACATAACTTAATTGTACAACTACAACCTAAAATTAAAAAGCTTAAAAAATATAATACAATAACTAAAATATATTATTAAAAGGTGTCCCTTTAGGCAAAGTTCCGAAGATACTGGCAGCGTTCCCTCTTTGAATAGCTAGACTAATTCTTTGTCCGAGGTAGCTGCCAGCTGTTCGGTCTTCTGTGATGTATGATTATTATCTATGATTTGAAATTAGAATTATTCTCATTTTCATTTTGAATTTAATGTTCCTTACGTCATGGTGTGTGGTATCCCATAGCTTCAGATGTCTCGGGTTGTCCTCCCTCGCCAGTTGGAATGACTCAGAGAGAGATCTGGTTAAGTTCCGCTCATCATCTGCCGTCACCTTCACGGACACGCCGGTGATGACCGCTTGTAGAATCGCCAGCATTGTAAGGACCACAACTGTCTGCATAAAAGTTATATATCTTACTAGCAAATTCAAATTCAAATTCAAATTCAAAAATCATTTATTTATGTAGGACATTTTAGCCGCTTATGAACGTCAAATTTTTACATTATAATTTTATTTTTTTCCCTACCGTCCAGTTCTAGCTAGCTTAGCTATATTATCCCGCAACTTCGTCCGCGTGGATTTTAATTTTACTTTTCTAAGATAAAAGAATTTTTCTAAAATCAAAGTAGCTTAAATTACTCCTTATTACATCGGCTACCAGCCAAAAATTTTCCCGTCAAAATCGGTCCAGCCATTTCAGAGATTAGCCGGAACAAACAGGCATACAGACAAAAATTGTAAAAAATGTTATTTTGGTGTATGATCCGTATTTGTTTATTCATATGCATGTAGTAAAAAACGGTTATTTCAATATTACAAACAGACACTCCAATTTTATTTATATGTATAGATAAAGGTGGTGTGAAGATGGTTTATTTCTGTGATTTAGCATTGAACCAATACACATAACTTAAAGTTTTCATCCTTTACGATCAACCGCTATAGCAATTAGTACTTTAATTTATATAGCAAAACAAAGTTTGCTGGATCACCTAATCTGATAAATAAAATTCTCGTGTCACAGTGTTTATAACAAAACTTTTCCGAGTATATCCTATTTCGTGTGTATATTCAGTACATACAACCCCAAATTTTCACCGTTTTACCATCAACTAACTTCTTAGTCCGCAGACAACTTATTAATTGTAGCGCGGGCATCACATAACGCCGTGATATCGTGATACATGATGCATAACATCATAATTACGTTATAATAATAATAATAATAATCTTTATTTGTCTCAAACAATAATATTTCACACAATACAACTGTTGCCCATACAATAATATAATTTAAAACTAATGAATGAGACAAAACGGTCTATAACTCAGTGAGGGCAGTGAGTCCACCCTCTCTGCTTTTCCGTTAAAGCCTTTATCAGTAAAATAATACAATATGACATCAACGACGACGATAGCATATTAAGTTAAGTTTTAAATTACAACTAACAAAGTTTTTGAAAAAATTTGGACTGAATCGGCTTGATGTTGGTATGTACCACGGTATACTATCTGATCCTGTATCATCGCCAGCAAAATTTTTATTTTCATTGTGCAGTAGAAGATAAGATTAGTAATAAGATACGATGGGACTGGCATTATCATATTATGATAAAAGTCCCTAAATAAATGTAAGAATAAAAAAAAAACTAACAAAGTAAACACAAAAATGTTATTTGTTATACCGTTCACGTATATTTACGACGGTCGTTTTCCATCTAGTGGACTTATTTGCCAAACCAGATACTAAAAAAAGAGCTTGAACACTAACAAATTTGTCTAATTTCCCTACAAGTATTGTACTTAGTAATTAAATGTTAACGTAGTCGCGTGATATGCCAGCGACGCCACTTCTCAGCATTTCTTTGAACTTGAATATATTAGTACTTCAAGGCACAAGGCTGCCGGTTAACAACCTTGGCTTTCGATTATCAAAGGGAGGTATGGGGTGTAAGGTTGCGGCAACGCAGTCTGCAAAGAATTTATTGGTAGTTCATTTTCAGTATCGTCCATTTAGTGGATGATAAATATCTATATCTTGACGGCCTCGGTGATCTAGTGGTTTAGCACACCGCCTAACTTCCGATCGTCGCGGTTTCGATTCACACGGCACAAACATTTGTATTAATGAGTGTGATTGTTTGTATCAATCTGGGTATTTTTTATGTATAATAAGTATGTATTTACGAAAAATATATCAATGTATTTTGTATCAGTTTCCTAGTACCCATAACATAAGTTTTAGCTAGTTTAATTTGAGTCTAGATGGCGCTGTGGGAATTGTCCTAAGATTATGTCTATTATAAATCTGTTTGGCCATTATAAGAGTATTGACCAAACAAAGCGTCCGATAGCTGAAAGAGTCATAGAGAACATCAAGGGGCGAAGAGAACATGGCAGTTGTCAAAACATCGACAACCACACAAATCTGCGATTGTCGATCATATGCTGAAAGCTGTAACAAATTACTGAATTGAGTTGCATGCGCCCAAAGTCCACCCTACTCATCCCTACACATTCTTCATCATAATTTATTGGTGATTCATTTCCAGTATCGTTCATTTAGCGGGTGGTTGGTATTGATATGCTATCTCTACAGCGATGCTATAGATTGTTCTAGAAATTTATAGCGTATAATTAATATTGGTCTGTTTTGATCAAAATTGTTTAGGTATTCGTGGAATCCATTTTTATAAAGTCTAAAATGGTTTTGTCTGTCTGTTTTATACACACAATTGAACGTCAGAACGGATCTTAAGTAATGAAATTTTACAGAAACAGAGATTGTATCACGAGAACAGATTTTATCTTAATCTTAGTAATATATTATATTATCTGTGGTAATATTATAAACTTCTTTTTCAGACTACTCTAATGCTGTTAGCCGCAGCTGGCCTTTATAGCTTCACCGGACGATAGGGGGCGAGTGCAGATGGCACTCCAAACCCAGGACTTATGGAGCGGCTGAAGGCCAACTTCAAGCCTAGCGGATATAAACGAGAAACTTTGTGAGTATGTTTGTTACTCTTTCACGCAAAAACTACTGAACGGATTTTGATGAAACTTTATAGTAAAATTGATTTATTTAAAACTATATTATGTAAATTAAGCAAAATATACTGATAAACGTCATGTAAGTGTGATACAAACCCGCAGTGGATATTCGACTATGGGTTTCATAGACGAAATATTACCTACCCATTCTGTTTCTTTGTATTTTTGTATAAAATACGGACTATATTTGTTATTGGTTTACTCACTTATACTTCCTTTACTTTTTGGACTGTTGCATGCTACGTTTTCTAATTGCATGTTCATTGTTCATATATTATAAATATTAATTAAAATAGCCTGAATTGGCCATGAGAAAGAACATTTTTTTCCTTCAAACATAATTTAGTAGTTATATTTGTATCAAGCTTTACAACATGATATTGTATAATGCGCTTTATTTAAGCAAATGAAATAATAACAATAAAAGAACTTAGAACAATTCACACAGCGCCATCTAGTTCCAAGCAAAGCAGAGCTTGTGTTATGGGTGATATAGAGAACTGATATAAATATAAATGCATACATAATACGTATAGAAAATACCCAAATTAATATAAACATCGGACTCATGAATACAAATGTTTGTACCGTGCAAGGAATCGAACCTGCGACCACACGAAATAAACCACTTAGACAACCGCGGGCGTCTAGTATAGTCAGAGTTATACATAATTATTAACCGATAACACATTTTATGAGCAATTCTTAAACTTTAATATGTATTGTAATCATTTATGCCTTCCTTTATGAGGACCTATCAATCAATCAATCATATATAAATCATTGTTTTAGGTTTTATTACGTTATAGTTGTTTGACGGCCTCAGTAGTCTAGATGTTTAGCTCATCGCTTTACTTACGATTGTTAGATCTACAATGAGAATCACTGGCAGTTTTTATATTATTTTATCCATATTTAAAATTTGATGTTCTGTATAACACTTCTGTTAATGTGCTCTGCTATAATAAACGTTTCTATAAGCATTTCTATTATTTTCATTCATTATTATTCCGATAATGATGCGTGCGATTCATCGAACGATACAAACATTTGTATTCATGAGTATGATTGTTTGTATTAATCTGGGTGTTTTTTGTCTATGTATATTATGTATAGATTTGCAAAAAAAAATTATTTATATTAGTTGCCTAATACCCATAACACAAGCTCTACTTAGCTTGGGATTACATAGCGCTGCGTGAAATGTCTTGGGGATATTACTACATCTTCTTATAATCAACGATACATTATTATTATTTGTATATAGTAAAGTAAACTTGTCAATGATATGATTAATTTTAAATAAGGCAGTAATTCTATATATTTTATGATTTTCAAGGGTTACATCTTCGCTGAAATCATTTCTCTGTCTCATGAAGATATCTTTTGTGATACCTATTAACAATGCCTTGATTATTTTTATAGTAAAATGGTAAAAATAAACTCACTGCATGTAGGGGTTTCTTATACTTTCTAAACACACCGACAATTGCGTAAATGACCACAGACATAGCGATAGCTGCCGTCACAGCCACTGTTATCATGGCGACCAGCCTCCCCGACTGCTGACTGCTGTACAGTTTGGTGGCGATAGCGGTAGAAATCGTCACCACGATGACTCCGATGCATTCGAACTGTAATGCAGATTTTCGGAAGAATTAACCTTAATTAGAATAGAAAATACTTTATTGAAATAATCTTAATTTAAGCACTTTTGAATAGTTATAGTTATGGTTCATTTAATCTACCGCTCATTCGGAAAACTGTTTCAATTCAGGAGGAATACCCGCGAAATTTCTCTGCAATCTTCTAAAAGATCTAAGACTCTCTAAAATTAAAGTGGGTTCTAGATTGGAACATGTGTCAAATGATGACGGATTTTCGGAAGAATGAACCTTAATTCAGGAAGCATACTAGCGAAATCTCTCTATAATTTTTCTAAAAGATCTAGCCTGCCTAGAATGATAGTGGGTTCTATATTAGAACGTGTATCTAAAGCTGCACTAATAGGCTCCTACTAGATTTGTCAGAACAGGAAGAGAAACACGAGCGGTGACAATGAGTGTTGTTGTATGTCGGCAAAAGGTCTCTTAAACGACGGTTTAAGACGGTTTAAGGGTGACGAGCTTGGTCTCAAATCTTGGGAACTGCTCTGAGTTTTACTCTCTGCTACACGATGGACCAGGAACCCGCACGAAGAATTCATGGAATACTAAAAAGTTCGTCTCTTTTTATAAAGTCTTACATACTGCATTAACTTTTAAGGAATCTAATCGCCTGTATACATGAACAGATGTCATGCCTCTTATTCTATAATTTTACTACCTCATCTTACCCCTCGAAAAAAACAGACCTTACCAAGCAAGCTGCTTGGCGGCTGTAATAGGGGTCTCCCCTATTCCATGATTGATATTGTAAAAGCTATTAGTTGATCTCTCTCCCCGAATTAAAATTCCACTTGTAATGCCTTTTGACAAAGATATTTAGACCTATAGGAATACGCAATAAGTAATACTTACTATAGCAACGACACCGAGTATGACGAATAAGAACTCCAAACATCTATCGCAGCATGATTTAGACCTTGTATTCAGACTTCTTATCCGGAAAACTCCGAACCGGGTCATCGTTGCGTCTTCTTTCGCAGCGACATTGTCTTTACTTGACGGTGGGCCTTGCTCTGTAATAATTAGTCATATATCATATTAACATTCACCAGAGGTACCTAAACTTTGTATAAAGTCATTACTTAATGGATTTCTTTTATTCTGTTTGATATTACTACTGTTCGAGTACTGCGACTTAAAATGAACGATTAAGTTATATCCGAGCTCTATTCATTGCCTGATGATGTCGAATTGAGAGGCGAAACACGTCTCGCAATATATCGTCATAGTCGAATTATGATGTATACTCAAAACAGTCGGAATCTGATCACCAATAGAAAAGGCCCTAACGTTTTCAATAACGGTGGTCAGATTTCCGCACTGGATATTTGTAGTCTTACACAGGATAATAGTAGCAGAATTAAACAAAATAATATAAATTAATATGATATTGAAATGGGTTCCGCTAATTTGACAGCCTCGGCGGTCTAGCGGATCAACACACCGCATTACTTCCGATGGTCGCGGCTTCGATTCCTCGCACGGTGCAAAGTAAGTGTAATCTTAATTTGAATAAAATATTTGTATTCAGATTATGAGTACATAAAAATTATTTTTTTTAATAAAATAATTATTAAATTATTTTAAAAACAAATATGACTTACCTTGTGTCATCTCAAGTGTACCCATGGCTGCCCAGCAGTTGGTAGGCCGGCCAGCAATGAATCGCACATCGGACGGGCCTGCATATATACTAATATAACAAAGAAACCACGGCCCAATGGCTCAACGCACCGTTTGTACAGTACAATGGTGGATAGCGATCAATGGGCACCAAACTGCGTAGAGATATCTCAGTTCAATGTGATTTCAGATTATAGTATTACCGAGATATGGTTAAAATTCTCTCATCGCATCGATTGATGAATTTTAACGAGTCAAACTCGTATTCTATAGTATTACCACAGATACATATTACATAGTATTACTGAGATATAGTCAAAATTCTCTTGTTTTATCAATCGAATTTTAATGAATCGAACTGGTTCTCTATAGTATTACTAAGATATAAGTAAAATTCTGTCGTCATATCAATCGAATTTTAACGATTCGAACTCGTTCTCTATAGTACTACTATGTAATATTATATTATCTGTGATATTACTAAGATATAAGTAAAATTCTGTCGTTGTATAAATCGAATTTTAACGAAACGAACTCTTTCTCTATAGTATTTTCTTTTGTCTATGATAATGGAATGGTGGACCCGCCTGCGCTAATGGTTTACGCTGGCGGGGCACCAGAGGAGGATGATAAGACGAGCATGAGGTCAGGTCAGTTAGCCCATCGCGACAAATTCACCAAGAATTCATCACGATGGTTTCCAAGGAGAACAGCGTGGAGCTAGTTCCGATAGTCAACAATCTCCTTTCCTCTTCTGTATAGTATTACCGAGATATAGTTAAAATTCGCTCGTCGTATCGATCGACGAATTTGATCGAATCGAACTCGTTCTCTATAGTATTACTATGTAATATTATATTATCTGTGGTATTACTAAGATAAGTAAAATTCTGTCGTCATATCAATCGAATTAACGAAACTCGTCTTCCTCTTTTCTCTTCTGTTTGTTGAGCCTAACAAAGTACATAATTGATCTGCTATAAACTTAACCATCTACTAACTACATACTGTTAATTATGTTATTTATTTTTAAAAGAGCAACAATCCCCCTCTCGTCTCTTCTGCTTGATGTACCCAACAGAGACAATAAATAATCTGCTATGAACTTAACCTACTAACTACCTACTATAAATTATGTTATTTACTTAAAAGAGCAACACGCAAGTATCATGTTCGTTCTTCATGTAATCAAATCAAACCAAAAATTGTTTATTCATGTAGAACCATGTTCGTTCTTCATGTATTCGTAGAACATTTTAGCCGCTTATGAACGTAATTTTTTTTGTATTATATTTTTGCCCTACAGTCCAGTTCAATATTCAGATTCAATTGAGAAGAACTGGCAAGAAAATCAACGGTTTTTTTTTTAAACTGTTTTTTCTCATTGTGTACTTATGTAGGTGTTTATGTCTAGTATTAAATAAAAATTTCGTGCATGAAATATTAGCATGACTGCGTTCCGAAAGAGTGATAAAATAAAAAAATATTACGATTCAAAAGTAGTACATTGAGAAATTTTTAATAAAAACTATTTCTATTTCTATTTCATTTTTATTTTTATTTTTGAGAGATGTGAGAAATTTGAATTTGTCACTTATTTATCTTTACATAGAGTCTGTACTTTCTTAACATTACAGTAATTACTTTATTTAGTGATAGAAATAGTTAAATAAACCCCTTATGAAAGGGTGAAAGGTTCAAAACCAATTATGGTTCTACTCTTGCCTGTCGAGGTACAAACAAAGTAATGTTCCGTTTTCGGGCGGTGTAGTCATCTTCAAAAGTGTTTAAGAAAAATAAAAGAAAAAAATATCTTAAATTTAAATCATAATTGTATTAATAAGTGAAATGAACTCTTTGTATTTACCAAAATTACGCATGAAATATTTGATACAGTTAATGTGGATCAAAAGTGTAGATTTTCTTTAAAACAATCATCTTTAAAGAATACTTTATTAATATTGATCTGCTTGCTTTCTATGTATGTTATTATTATATATATTACTATCTGTTCCCGCGACTTCGTCCGCGTGGAATTTAACTTTATTTTTCTAAAATAAAAGTAGCCTAAGTTACTCCTTACTTCATCAGCTACCTGCCTAAAAAAGTCCCGTCAAAATCGGTCCAGGTATATCAGAGATTAGACGGAACAAACAGATAAATTGAAAAAAATGTTATTTTGGTGTATGTGCCGTATTTATATTCATATGCATGTAGTAAAAAACGGCTATTTCACTATTACAAACAGACACTCCAATTTTATTTATATGTGTACATGTATACATTATTAGTATGTATTACAAAAAAAATGTATCTAAGTATATCTATTAGTTGTTTAGTACCCATAACACAAATTCTGGTCTGGGGAAAGGGATTGTTAGTAATGTGAACTAATAACGCCATTGCTAGCAATGTACCATGACAGGTTGACCTCCACGTTGTTTACCCTGGAAATCATCGTGGTAAATTGCCATTTATCAAGATAGGTTAACTGATCTGACTTCATGCTCATTTTATCATCCTCCACTGGTCCCCAGGCAGGTGCATTCCATTGTCATTCTTCAATACAAGGTCTGCTCAGCTTGAGACTAGACGTTGCTGCGTGAAAAGTCCAGGAAAAAATCGCCATGAAGGATGAATTTATAGACTTCTCCACAAGACAGTCCGAGCCGTAGGTCATAGCTATCAAGCAAGGCAGTGGTTGGCACTCATTGTCGTTGCCATGGCGACCACACCACAACACCACGCACAATAGTGGTGACCACACCATGATAAACATAAGTGCTCACCAAGGACGCGTCAAAGAAATTTTGCAATTGTTTGACGAAATACAAGTTCTATTGAAATTGTACTTTTATTATACACAAGTAAAATTTACTACAGAAATTGTGGTGTTTAGAACTTTTTTTTGACGGCGGTGGTCTAGCGGTTTAGCACACTGCCTTACTTCCGATAGTCGCGGGTTCGATTCCTCGCACGACACAAACATTTGTATTTATGAGTATGATAGCTTCTGTCGGTCTGATTGTTTTCTATGTATAACATGTATGTATTTACAAAAAAAAATCTTTGTTTTGTATCAGTTGTCTAGTATCCATAACACAAGCTTTAACTAGCTTAACTTAGGTTTAGATGGCGCTGTGTGAATTGTCCTGAGATTTTTTTTAATGCTACATTCTGCCACAGGGAATTAGATCTAAATGTCTTTGTTTTATAATTTAAAATGGTCTTCAATTTTTTTATACTACGATTGTAGTAAACAAGCATACAATCCATCTGATGGTAAACGGTTACCCTAACTTATGGATGCCTGAAATATAATACCAGGGATGTCTCGTGCGCATTGCTGACCCGTAAGAAACCTTAATACATCCGTCTTGAAAAACCTCATGCTGTAATCTCCCGAGAAAACCTCGGCAGGTAGTTCATTCCACAATGTAAGTGTACGGGGGAGGAAGCTGTCCTGAGGCTCCTCCTAATATACAGGTTATAATATGGGTACGACGGGGAAAGTGGATGGATGTGATCTGAAGTAATGTGGACTGATATTGCTAGCAATGTGTTATGTCAGCTTGACCTTCACGCGGTTTCCCCTGGAAACCATTATGATAAATTCTTGGTGAATTTATCACGATGGGCAAACTGAGCTGACCTCATGCTCATCTTATCATCCTCCAATGGTGCCCCGTCAGCGTAAACCGTTAGCGCAGGCGTGTCCACCATTTCATTATCATCAATAAGAAAAGTACGACGTGGATGTAAATTCTTCTAGTCTATTCGTAAAAGAACAATAAAAGTAGGCTAAGAAATCTTTTAATTCGAAATTTGTTAAAAGAAGTCCTCTTATAATTAATATACTGCCGGCCTCGATGGTCTAGCGGCATATAGCCTTACTTCAGATGGTTGCACGTTTGATTCTTCGCACGGTACAAACATTTGTGTTTATGATTGATTGTATATGTCTGATATGTATATTACAAAAAAAAATTACGTAATTATATCAGTACATAATCCATCCACTACCTACCCATAATACAAGCTCTACTTACCTTGGCACTAGATGGCACTCTGTTAGTTGTCCTGGGTTATTATTACTAAACTTTACACTAAAAAATAGCAGCCCAAAAAAAACTTCCCAAACAGCATAAATAAAATTATTATTTATAGACAAAAGCATGAGAAACGCCGGGTGGCAGCGACAGTATCGCGACGATACGTAAACACGCGTTGTGATTAATGATGCACCTTTACAAAACATGTTCAGGCTTAATAACATTCGGAAACATGGCCACAAAAGTTTTGTGCCGTCATTAAATACGCTTGCCATATTGGAGGGTTGTAATATAAGGATAATTATATTTTCTTGAAGTGTATTTAATATTTAACAGAAGAAGTAGAGAAAAATTTGTACAAAGTTGTTTAAATACCACTATCTCTATACCCATCTCTATATTTTTATATATCTAGTGGCAACCATAGTCTATATCAGGAGTAAGCAACCTTTTTCAACAACGGAACAATTTAAATTTCATTTTTTTGCCAAGCCGCACATAAAGTAATACCTATTAATAATTTAGAAAACTTTATTTATAATAAACATTAGTATAAAATAATATAAAATTTTAATGCAAAATAAAAACACGCGCAGACGCGGCGTATGAACAAGTCCCAAACAAGTGAATAACTCGTCAGAAAAATTTGTTTTGGTTTAGGTAATATGTATTACCATTTTGTTATAATTAAAATGAGAAAGTAGAAAATATACTAAATTTTAGAATTGCTTACCGGATTGCATAAACATATTTAACGGGCCCGGCTACAAGGGGCCCGCGGCCCGCGATTTGTTCATCCCTTGTACATACATACATACATACGTACATACATACATGAACAGCACAAAGCTTACCACTTTTCAATAGAAATTTATTACTCTATGTTTGCGATCGCAAATAGCCATATAATAATACATTTAAAAATAAAATTAAAAAATTCAAATATGGAATGTT